AAATCAATGCTGGCGATACACTGCAGCAGAAATGTGAAGTGTTCATCGTTTCCAAATCTAACATGGCCCGTACGGGGATCGAACCCGCGACCTTGGCGTTATTAGCCCCACGCTCTATCCAACTGAGCTAACCGGCCATACGACGCGTGTAGGGTTGACAAACTTAAATCAATGCTGGCGATACACTGCAGCAGAAATGTGAAGTGTTCATCGTTTCCAAATCTAACATGGCCCGTACGGGGATCGAACCCGCGACCTTGGCGTTATTAGCCCCACGCTCTATCCAACTGAGCTAACCGGCCATACGACGCGTGTAGGGTTGACAAACTTAAATCAATGCTGGCGATACACTGCAGCAGAAATGTGAAGTGTTCATCGTTTCCAAATCTAACATGGCCCGTACGGGGATCGAACCCGCGACCTTGGCGTTATTAGCCCCACGCTCTATCCAACTGAGCTAACCGGCCATACGACGCGTGTAGGGTTGACAAACTTAAATCAATGCTGGCGATACACTGCAGCAGAAATGTGAAGTGTTCATCGTTTCCAAATCTAACATGGCCCGTACGGGGATCGAACCCGCGACCTTGGCGTTATTAGCCCCACGCTCTATCCAACTGAGCTAACCGGCCATACGACGCGTGTAGGGTTGACAAACTTAAATCAATGCTGGCGATACACTGCAGCAGAAATGTGAAGTGTTCATCGTTTCCAAATCTAACATGGCCCGTACGGGGATCGAACCCGCGACCTTGGCGTTATTAGCCCCACGCTCTATCCAACTGAGCTAACCGGCCATACGACGCGTGTAGGGTTGACAAACTTAAATCAATGCTGGCGATACACTGCAGCAGAAATGTGAAGTGTTCATCGTTTCCAAATCTAACATGGCCCGTACGGGGATCGAACCCGCGACCTTGGCGTTATTAGCCCCACGCTCTATCCAACTGAGCTAACCGGCCATACGACGCGTGTAGGGTTGACAAACTTAAATCAATGCTGGCGATACACTGCAGCAGAAATGTGAAGTGTTCATCGTTTCCAAATCTAACATGGCCCGTACGGGGATCGAACCCGCGACCTTGGCGTTATTAGCCCCACGCTCTATCCAACTGAGCTAACCGGCCATACGACGCGTGTAGGGTTGACAAACTTAAATCAATGCTGGCGATACACTGCAGCAGAAATGTGAAGTGTTCATCGTTTCCAAATCTAACATGGCCCGTACGGGGATCGAACCCGCGACCTTGGCGTTATTAGCCCCACGCTCTATCCAACTGAGCTAACCGGCCATACGACGCGTGTAGGGTTGACAAACTTAAATCAATGCTGGCGATACACTGCAGCAGAAATGTGAAGTGTTCATCGTTTCCAAATCTAACATGGCCCGTACGGGGATCGAACCCGCGACCTTGGCGTTATTAGCCCCACGCTCTATCCAACTGAGCTAACCGGCCATACGACGCGTGTAGGGTTGACAAACTTAAATCAATGCTGGCGATACACTGCAGCAGAAATGTGAAGTGTTCATCGTTTCCAAATCTAACATGGCCCGTACGGGGATCGAACCCGCGACCTTGGCGTTATTAGCCCCACGCTCTATCCAACTGAGCTAACCGGCCATACGACGCGTGTAGGGTTGACAAACTTAAATCAATGCTGGCGATACACTGCAGCAGAAATGTGAAGTGTTCATCGTTTCCAAATCTAACATGGCCCGTACGGGGATCGAACCCGCGACCTTGGCGTTATTAGCCCCACGCTCTATCCAACTGAGCTAACCGGCCATACGACGCGTGTAGGGTTGACAAACTTAAATCAATGCTGGCGATACACTGCAGCAGAAATGTGAAGTGTTCATCGTTTCCAAATCTAACATGGCCCGTACGGGGATCGAACCCGCGACCTTGGCGTTATTAGCCCCACGCTCTATCCAACTGAGCTAACCGGCCATACGACGCGTGTAGGGTTGACAAACTTAAATCAATGCTGGCGATACACTGCAGCAGAAATGTGAAGTGTTCATCGTTTCCAAATCTAACATGGCCCGTACGGGGATCGAACCCGCGACCTTGGCGTTATTAGCCCCACGCTCTATCCAACTGAGCTAACCGGCCATACGACGCGTGTAGGGTTGACAAACTTAAATCAATGCTGGCGATACACTGCAGCAGAAATGTGAAGTGTTCATCGTTTCCAAATCTAACATGGCCCGTACGGGGATCGAACCCGCGACCTTGGCGTTATTAGCCCCACGCTCTATCCAACTGAGCTAACCGGCCATACGACGCGTGTAGGGTTGACAAACTTAAATCAATGCTGGCGATACACTGCAGCAGAAATGTGAAGTGTTCATCGTTTCCAAATCTAACATGGCCCGTACGGGGATCGAACCCGCGACCTTGGCGTTATTAGCCCCACGCTCTATCCAACTGAGCTAACCGGCCATACGACGCGTGTAGGGTTGACAAACTTAAATCAATGCTGGCGATACACTGCAGCAGAAATGTGAAGTGTTCATCGTTTCCAAATCTAACATGGCCCGTACGGGGATCGAACCCGCGACCTTGGCGTTATTAGCCCCACGCTCTATCCAACTGAGCTAACCGGCCATACGACGCGTGTAGGGTTGACAAACTTAAATCAATGCTGGCGATACACTGCAGCAGAAATGTGAAGTGTTCATCGTTTCCAAATCTAACATGGCCCGTACGGGGATCGAACCCGCGACCTTGGCGTTATTAGCCCCACGCTCTATCCAACTGAGCTAACCGGCCATACGACGCGTGTAGGGTTGACAAACTTAAATCAATGCTGGCGATACACTGCAGCAGAAATGTGAAGTGTTCATCGTTTCCAAATCTAACATGGCCCGTACGGGGATCGAACCCGCGACCTTGGCGTTATTAGCCCCACGCTCTATCCAACTGAGCTAACCGGCCATACGACGCGTGTAGGGTTGACAAACTTAAATCAATGCTGGCGATACACTGCAGCAGAAATGTGAAGTGTTCATCGTTTCCAAATCTAACATGGCCCGTACGGGGATCGAACCCGCGACCTTGGCGTTATTAGCCCCACGCTCTATCCAACTGAGCTAACCGGCCATACGACGCGTGTAGGGTTGACAAACTTAAATCAATGCTGGCGATACACTGCAGCAGAAATGTGAAGTGTTCATCGTTTCCAAATCTAACATGGCCCGTACGGGGATCGAACCCGCGACCTTGGCGTTATTAGCCCCACGCTCTATCCAACTGAGCTAACCGGCCATACGACGCGTGTAGGGTTGACAAACTTAAATCAATGCTGGCGATACACTGCAGCAGAAATGTGAAGTGTTCATCGTTTCCAAATCTAACATGGCCCGTACGGGGATCGAACCCGCGACCTTGGCGTTATTAGCCCCACGCTCTATCCAACTGAGCTAACCGGCCATACGACGCGTGTAGGGTTGACAAACTTAAATCAATGCTGGCGATACACTGCAGCAGAAATGTGAAGTGTTCATCGTTTCCAAATCTAACATGGCCCGTACGGGGATCGAACCCGCGACCTTGGCGTTATTAGCCCCACGCTCTATCCAACTGAGCTAACCGGCCATACGACGCGTGTAGGGTTGACAAACTTAAATCAATGCTGGCGATACACTGCAGCAGAAATGTGAAGTGTTCATCGTTTCCAAATCTAACATGGCCCGTACGGGGATCGAACCCGCGACCTTGGCGTTATTAGCCCCACGCTCTATCCAACTGAGCTAACCGGCCATACGACGCGTGTAGGGTTGACAAACTTAAATCAATGCTGGCGATACACTGCAGCAGAAATGTGAAGTGTTCATCGTTTCCAAATCTAACATGGCCCGTACGGGGATCGAACCCGCGACCTTGGCGTTATTAGCACCACGCGCTAACCAACTGAGCTAACCGGCCGCATAAGACTTAAGTGCTGAATGTAGTCCATCTATAGTTAAAGTATGGAGATTGATAAAGCAAATTGATTGTATGGGCGTAGAACCGGGTACAGTACCTTGGTGTTTTGAGAATTCGAGCCAATTAAATTTACCGGCCACACTATCTTGAATAAGTTGGCCAAAAGCGTATCTAGGCCGGGAATACATTGCGGTGGCAACATACAAATCATTGATTGTTTGTTAAAATAGGTAGCTGGCCCGTACGGGGATCGAACCCGCGACCTTGGCGTTATTAGCACCACGCTCTAACCAACTGAGCTAACCGGCCATACTTAACAGACAAAATTGGCCAAAAGGATCGAGGGTGCGGATACGTTGCGGTATCGGAAGGGAGGTAGTCATCGGTTTCAAAAGGTAGATGGCCCGTACGGGGATCGAACCCGCGACCTTGGCGTTATTAGCACCACGCTCTAACCAACTGAGCTAACCGGCCATATTCGGCAAAGGCCTTAAATGCTTAAAATAAATACAGCATCACAACCAAAATTTGCTGTCGAACACAGACAAGTTTAAGACCAACGACCTCTCAGCTGCGTACAAGTCCGTGCTTGACCAAAGCCAATGGTTTCCTGATGTGCCTGATTCTATAGCAATCCACAACCTCTTTGAAATTAATGCAAATGCTGTTACTCCATAACTGGTTTTATGATGTGTAATTCAGACAAATATCAGGCACGTAAACGCACAGTGTTGTGTCTTTTAAGGCCTGGACTGCCTTACCTATCAAGCAAGCGCTCAGTCAGGGAAAACAGCAGTTTCTTTCCTGGCCTCCTTAATAGCACAACCAATGGCTAATTTATGGGAATAAAACAAGGGGACCTGAAATATTTTACAAGCTGAGCAAAAGACCTTTACAAAGCGAGCAGCACTTCGCATGGATGTCAGGAAACTGCTACCAATACATTTGATTTGTAGCGTTTTTTAAGTACTGGTGCGTGCGTGCGTGCGTGTGTGTGTGTGTGTGTGTGTGTGTGTGTGTTTTTTTTCATAATTGGTTTTCATTTATAAGGTGCGATCAATCCAAACAAAATGTTGACCATCTTTATTTGGCATGGATGTGGACACCAGTAAACTACAATATTGATTATGACACTGAGTTGCTTTCACTCTGAAATCCTACGATGCTCAATGGGACCTTCGATCATGATACATAGTTTTGTTTTTTGGTTTTTTACTGTGCACTGGAGCAACTTTCAAGACAAAGAAACAAGCTGTGAATGAAAGTCCAGCAATCGTTGATCCCCGTTCAGTTTAGCGTGCTCCAAAAGTACCTGCGTGAAGATGAAAATGCATTTTAAAAGTCATCTGCAGAAAGCGGCGAAATTTGTCAGAAATGTCATCAGACAAGCGCGTGAAACAATAATGTTGCTTTACATGAATTAGTTCGTCGTCGTTTTTGAAATGCAGGTGCCTCAGCAGGTACCAGCTGGCCACTTGCGGCACAGTTGCAGAGAATTCTTGAGAGGGGCTGTAGACCAGCTTTTCCAACAGTCGCCTGGTTTCCCTGCAGACGGGACAAAAGGAGACTCGGAGCTGAGGTAAGCAATGCTGCCGTTCAGTACTTATGCTTATGGGAGAGTGCTACAGATCAAATAGATAAATAGTGAAGGGCCTCTTGGGAATTGCAAGGGGAGGCAGAGGGTGTTTGATACTTGACCATATGAGCTCTTAAGCTATTACAGTTCCACGGAGCCTCTCTCTATGTAGTCACTCCAGGGGTTCAGAGAGCTTCCTGAGCCCCAAGCTCTTTTTTTAAGGGGAAAAAATAGCATGATGCCTACCTGGCAGCCATCTTGGTAACAAATTGGAGCAAGGCCTGGAAGAGGAGAGCCACAGGTGAAGAGCCCAGCTTCAAGGCTTCAGTGGTAGCTTGTCGAACCAGATCCTTCCAGTCATTTCCAGGGACACCTGCCTGAAAAAAGTCAAAACAAGCACGCACACAGGTGACAATGGACATGGAAAATCATCACACTGATCATTGAGGTGAAATGTTCCCTTTTTATTACACTAATGTGACCACCTTCTCACATAGTTTAGACTGTTGTTTTCTTTAATCTGCTCTTGCCCGGAAAATCTTAATCTGCTGTATGCCTATAAGAGATTTACTATCCTCTCAATTTGAATCACAATCGCAAAGCTTCTCATCTTGTTGGGACTTTCCATTTGCCCTTGTCTGATGCTACAACCGGGGTGTCTTTCATCTCTTCTGCTTCATGTTGTCCAACGCATGGGTTATAAAGACAAACAAGCACTCACCATACTGGGCCTCAGGGCAAGAAGGCTGAGACGCAGCAGGCTGCCGACTTGACTGCTGTGCTGGCCGAGCTGGGAGGCGAGCTGCAAACTCTGTCTGAGAACCATGACTGCCTGCACGAGCAGACCCTGGCTGATGTACACCGCGGCTAACCACTAGGTAGGTGATTGTTAGAGGAGATAAAGTCGTTAGAATCACATTTATGAGTTTACACTGCTCATGACGTAGATCTTAAATTCAAATCCAATATATCAAATAGAGTTTATACTGTATTTCCTAGCAGGTCCTTGAAACTGCGAATTGCTCGTATCACGAGAGGCTGCAGAATGCATATTTGTTCAGTGGGCGCAATATGGAGGTCCTAAAATAATCGGTCATCTTTGCAGTCAATAAACATGACTAAAGTCTGCCCAGACTCTCACAATATAAAACAAGTCAAGCAAAAATCATGACATTTTCTTTGGTTGACTTATTTCTCTCGAATTGTTCTACTCTATGAATGTGAACAGTGAAGCAAAACACAATTGCCAGATGGACCGGTGGTGCTTAAAATAACTGCGATAGCTCATCCTCACATGCCACGCCGCAATATTGTTGGGGTTCAACATCACAGCACTGTTGAGCTGCTCCAAGGCAGACTCCGATAGGAGAGTACCATCGCCGGACTCAAGGAGGCGCAGACACTGTACTTGTCTGAGCGACAACGTCGCTGCGGGATGCTCTGGGGACACATTTAGCACCTAGAACCAAGTACAGCAAAGAAAACTCAAGTGAGTCATCCCATTTGCATTGTACAGTACACAAAAGTAATTGAGGTACAGGTCCCATGAGAGGGACGCGAGCTCTCTCTAGAGGTACACAAAATAAAGGATCACTGACTTAGTTCATTTCAGTTGTATTGATTCAGTAGGGATTTGTTTGTGTTTAATGTTCAATTTTGGTACAGTTGATATTCATTTAACTTTTATGTACAACATGTTTGAATTAAATAATTGAAGCAGCGTTTATTATATTTTAAAATTTAAAAGGAGACACTAAGAGTGAGTAAATGTCACCTGTGAGCAGACTGCTTCTGCTTGCTCAAGATGTCCGCTCAGCATGAGACCACTCACTGCCTGTTGTAGTACCCATCCTTGCAGAGATTGTGCTAGGGAGCGCTCTATCTCTTCCAAGCTATGCACTGGGATACACAAGTCCTCATTTAGTTTACACATCACAAGATGAGGGATTGGTACACTTGCACTAGTTAAGGACATTCGTACAAGACCTTATTGGTGAGTTTGCAAAGCTATAATCTTGCCCGTGACATCTTTTCCGTACAACAATGACCCCATCTGCTAAATTATTTTTATTGTCAATTCATTAAAAAAATAAATGGAGATACAGTAGTTCATTTCTTTGTTGACTTACAAATTCAGCTGGGGATCAAAGGCATTTTTAATCCCCCGTGTAACATACCGTGGCCAACAGATAAAATGCGTACCTTTTTCAGAAACCACTGACATGAGCGTTTGAATTATCTTTATTGTCAATTCATTTAAAAAAAATAAATGGAGATACAGTAGTTCATTTCTTTGTAAACTTAGAAATTCAGCTGGGGATCAAAGGCATTTTTATCCCCCGTGTATCATACCGTGGCCAACAGATAAAACGCGTACCTTTTTCAGAAACCACTGACATGAGCGTTTGCTCTAGTCCTTGCCTACGTGCAGCTGAGCCCGAAAGATAACAGGAAGTGTTTTCTGTGTGACAGGCAGCCATTAATCCTGCCCATGCTGCTGGATCATCTGTAAGTAGAGGCGATACTGCTCAAATACTGGTACATTTACAAAAAACTCAGTACTTAAAAAAAAAAAAATTGGACGTGTGTTTTTCACAGACAGCAACGACTTTGGGGTCTCCCAAAGGTGTGCTTGCGAGGTGCGCGTTAATGTACCAGGACAGAGCAGCACAGCTCTCTGCATGGTCTTCAGAGCATTCCTGTGAGCATCCTCTCCAGAGTGTCTTCCACAAGCCAACTGATTCACTCCACTGTACAGCAGCGCTCTCTACAAAGTTAAACATGTTTTAGTTCGCAATCTGACAATGTTCCTCCATGTCATGCAGGGACCTCTCAATCCCTACAGCTGCAACACAGGACACTGAGCTAAAAACAATGAAAGCAATTTATGATGACACGCTGTAAATGTCGAGGCTATTCTACCTTTCCCTGGGTCATACTGGAAAGACAGGCAACGTGTCCGGCCATTGCGCCGCCCTGGAAGACACAGCATTACATTACATTACCTTTCAACATCAATTAGCAAGGAATGCGAGTGTGTTTTGGTGTTTGCATGAGGCTTACATTTGCCTTCCTGGGGTAGTACTTGGGTACCAGTTTGGACAATAGCGACCACAAAGATGAATTCCCCGGATAGCTAAAAGAATCGGAGGGCAGAGGAGAAGTTGACATGTTAAATGCGATCTCAAAGCGCTGCTTGTTTCACTGTCTCTAGAAATAATCCGTATTCCTCCAGCCGACCTGTGTACGGCCCTGGAGGCCTCTCTTTGCACAGCACTGTAGTTGCCCTGCAACGCCAGTAAGGTGCAGGTGAGAAGACACCGCTGTTCGATAACAGTTGCACAGGACGAGCCTTGTTTTAGCAGCTCGGTACGGGCAGCAGCGGCTAACGTTGTGTCATTGTGGACCAATCCAAGGGCACATAAACACAGAAGAGACTCTGGTGCCGGTTCCTTCAACATGGAGCTGTGGAGGACAGACTGTCGAGTCAGTGCACTGGGGAGCCAAAGTTTCATTTAGTTACATAGTACCGCATGCCGTCCAGTGGAAAAGCATTCACTTTTTTTCTGCCCGTCGCTACATGTTGCTGCTGGCATAGACAGATGAACAAAAGTACAATATTTGTAGTGTATAAATAATAATTTTCAGGCCCGTTAAGTCAAATTTGAAATTTCCCCTCAACAGACCTGATGATCTCTGACAGTCAAAGCACGCCACTGCGCCACAGCACAATCACTAACATAGTGGACTTACCATTTGAACAGCAGGGTCTTGGCAGAGTCGACATTCCCCTGCTGGTGCTGCAGCAGGGCAAGAGCTGTCAACACGTACGCCGTCTGCTTCTCACTGGAGGCCGCAGCCAGGGCACGCTCATATGCTACAGAGCACAAATAAAACACTTCATAGTCGCTTGGGAGAAGATCTCAAAAGGGCTTCAGGGCTGCCGCTTACCGCCGATGCTCTCGGGTATGAGTCCGGCCTTGCAGTAGGCCAGAGCCAGCCCTGACAGATCACTGAGCTCCTCTAGCGGAGTGGAGTTAAAAACATCAACTGCCTCGCGCCACCGGCCACAAGCACTGAGAGGGACACAGTAGAAGTGATTATGTTGAGTGGAGGTACTTTTTAGTCAAGCACTCAATTTGCTGGGATTGAAGGGAATTTCTCACCACAAAGCTCGAGCATAGTTGCTCCGAGCAAACGATAGTTGTTCTCCGAAGGACGTGGACTCAAGTAACTCAACGGCTCTGAGGGGAGAGAAGTAAAAATACAATTCTTAATCAACAATATTATTGGTACCCCTGCAGAGCACGAATCACGGAAGAAAAATGATTTCATCCATTATTAGTTAGTATTACATTAAAAACAACAATATTTTTTTCAAGAAACTTTATATTTTGGTGCAAATCTGATTAAAAAGATCCAGTAGTTGTTTCTGCTTTGTTTAATCACAATGGAACCACTGATTTGATACAACGTTACAATGCCAGTCATTCATTTGCTGCCATCTTGTTGTCCTGTAGTGAAACTACACAGAGGTTCTTTCAGGCAGAAAGTGCAAAGACGTTATTTGGAGAGCTTCCCTACTGAATGCGATTCAAAAGTACTCGTTTAGGTGTTTTCAATGATACCTGTGATAAGCCTGTACAGCCTGTCTCTTCAGCTGCAGATGTTCAGCCAGAAAGCCCAGCATGATGAAGGCAACGGCGTCAGACTGGATCCTTTCTGAAAAGCAAACTTCGTATTTCACCAGATCGTCTTTGTGACTCGCAAACAACCGCGGTGTACTCTGATGGCATACCGGTGTACTTGCTGAGTGCCACCTGGGCTGCAGAGATGGCATTCATCTGGATTATGTTGTAGCGATACAGTTCGGAGTCTCTCTTGCTCTTATCCAACAAGGTAGAACATACCCAGTGGGCGTAGCCTTTCACTCCCTCCGTCTGGATGACGGTGAGTCGTCGGGTCGAATGGAGAGAGAGATGCGACACGGCAAGGTTATGCATTCAGAAGTTGAAAATTCAAAAAGGGCGGCTGGTCGCGTACATGTGTGCTAAGCTCAGTGGTGTGTCTGAAAAGATCCATGGTGTCATAGCTTCCCACTGTCTCTGCTATCAGGGCCTGGAAGGTTGAAAAATATGTCACATGCAAAAAAATTAACCAGTGTAAATACCAGTAACTGGCATTAAAAAAAAAATCAGCAGTCACACAAACATCAAAGTCAATTTTTTATAAAGCGACCCAAAAAAAAAGAAAAAATCGTCCACCTGTCCAATCCAGCAGTTGACATACAGCGGCTCCAATGACTGTGCGATCTTGAAGGACTCATGTGCAAGCTAGACAAGACATTTAAAAATGACAGTACATGTGTCAGTCACCATTGATGAAACACAATAGTCGAGATGTTCAGTGTAGTATAAAACGCACACCTCTATATTGTCCTTTTTCAGATACAAGGTGCCGAGGTTGGTCCATGCAACAACATTCTGTAAAAAAAAAAAAAAAAATGTTTTAAATCCTTTCCTAAAAAAATATTTGAAGCTCATGTATCGCCATAAAGCCCATCGTACATACATTTGGTTCAACTTGAATAGACTTGATGAAGCAATGCTGAGCCAGGGCCAAATTCTCCAGTCCTGGTAACATGGGGAAAGGTGAAAATAATCATATTATGAATATCCTCTCACACACACTCTCCTTAAAACAACTGTAAATGGGTACCAAATTAAATGTCTGTTTATCCACACAAATGACCCAGCAAGTTAAATGTGCTCGATATACGACACCTTTGCTTGTGTTGATCACTCCCAAAGCGTTCCAATAGTTATGGTTGCCGCCGTCCATCATAACTGCCTTTCGTAAACACTGAAAAAGCCAAAATGACATTGAAATAACACATGGGGGATGAAAAGAAAATTTTTGAAATTGCTGTTTTCGTACTTGTTGTGCTTTCTCTAGTAGTAACGATTGCGCCTCCTCTGCATCACAGGTTAGGCGAGCCTGATGATAAAAATTGAGTCCCAGATCATGCCACAGACTGGCAACCTCTGGCATGAGCTTCAATGCACGAGTGTAACACCTGTGGATACAAAAGTACAACATTCAATGTTTGATTTCGAATGAAAGCACTGCACAACGCCAGTAATATCAGAAAGTCATGAAAAGATGGAGCAACTGGCAGCTGTCATACCGTTCGCCAACTCTGAGCGTCTCAGCCTGGTTCAGCACGTGGACCTGAACTTGTGGATCCAGACCAGCCAGCGCTGCCGGCATCCGAACCTGAGCCCTCTTTGGAGACACTGTGCTGACAGCGGAGCAGGCATCTCCCAGCAGCTTCCACAAGCAGGACAAGTCAGATCGCAGCTTCACCGCTCTGAGGAGCACAACAGTGACACAGTAAGATCCACTTCCAAATCTTTCGGTTCTGTTAAGTACAGTGTCCTTTTTTTTTTTAGCTTTTCTATTTTCAGAAGAAACCTTTTAAGAAACATGGCTGCTGATAAAATAGGAGGCACTAACAAGTGCCGCCTTTTGAATTGCGACTTACTTGAAGAGGTTCAGGAGAGCTTGCTCAATCAAGTCAATGGCTCCACCGTCTCTGCAGTCCTCCATTAAACTTTTTGCCAGCGAGAGCTGACACTCACCAAGACCTCAATAAAACATCATTTAAGTCAAATTAAACTTTGCAGATGAGAGAAAAAGCAATCGCGCCATGCCACACACACATGGTTCTCTACCTTTAAGGGCAGGGACGTAGTCGTGCTTCGCTGTGATCTGCAAATACTCCGCGACGGCCTCTTTGAACTTGCCTAGGGTCTGTTTGATGGCAGCGGCCTGGTAGACGCTGTAGATGGAGGTGGGCTGAAGGATGTGCGCCTTTCCGAAGGCCTTCAGAGCTGCTGTAAAACTCTGGCGGTTTAAGTATGCTTCACCTAAACACTCCCAGCACACCCAATCGTCCGGGTCTGCTCTCAGAGCTGCCTGGAGACTACAAATAAATAATAGATAATGAATAAGAAGAACAAAAGCTTGAATTTTTTTTTTTTTTTTTTAGATCAAAATGAACTTTATTTATTCCTTACTCGGCAATAGCCAAATGATGCTGTCCAATCTTTAAGTAGTAAAGGCCGCGTCTCATCCAGGCCCATTTGGCAGAGCCTGGAGTGGCCTTCTCGATCACTGACTGGAGGATTGCCAATGCGGTGTCCTGTAGCAGTAAAGGAGGATTTAGAGAAAAATCTTTTTTTTTTTTACTAATGGCATAATGACATTAGAAACACAAAAACAAAACAATACACATGAAACAAATGAAACATGAGTGCAGACATTACCATATCTTCATTAGCCATGCTGAGATCGACTGCAGCCGCGCCAGACTCAGCGTCGTTATTGTCCAAGTCAAAGGCCTTCCGATAGCAGCCGCGTGCCCGTCCGGAGTCGTTGGCCACTTCCCGATAATAATGTCCAAGGTAGCGGAACACGCAACCGAAGTAAGGGTCTAACTTTGCAGCCTGAGATACACACAAATAAGGCTTGGAAAGGCAGCAGGCTTTTTATTTTCGCAAATCCAACAGTTACTTCTTACTAACCTTGAGAAAATGTGAATGGGCCTTGCTTCTGTCCTTACGGGTCTCTTCTCCCATGGTCCAATAGAGTTGGCCAAGCAAGAAAAAATACTCGGCGCAGTCGGGGCTTTGCGCGGATGCCTTGAGGAAACTGCAGCGAGAAGGAAAAAAAACTTGTATTGACTGATTGACTCAAGTTGGGGGAGCACCACTGGTCCACCTGACTGTGCTTTTACCTCTGCTCTGCAAGCTGCTTCTTGTCCTCGGCTACGTGGGCCAGTCCCTCGAGCGCTGACGCCTGGGCCAGGTGAGGGTTCGAGGCCGCCAGCTGTGATGACACCTGTGAAACATATAGATGCAACTTCCTTTGGTCTGTGCACTGACCTGTTATTTAATGACATACGTGTGCATCCGCATGTGGTCAAACGGACCTTTAACGCCTCAAATACTTTTCCTTTGTTGAGGTATGCGCGACCTTTAAGGGCGACTAGTAATGGGTCTTTGTCAGCATCAGGGATCTAAAGGACAGAAAGCAACTCATATCAACTCCACAATCAAAACATGCTCCTTTTTATCATAAGGTTATTACGGCAGCCCGTGTAAAAATAATCTGCCATTCCATTTGTGAAATTGCGATGCAATTAATGCAACACATGTCACAATATGATCATTAATTAACCCTCCTGTTCTGTTTATCTGGTACACCAAAAACCTTAACGGGTCAATGCGACCTGCTGCATGTTTAGCCCGAAAAAAATGTTCCGTGTCAATTTCACCCGCATGACAAAACAAGGGTGAATAAAGGGCAGGTGTGATGTTCTACCCAGGAAAATGTCTCCAGAGCCTGCTCTGCATCCTTCTCCTCTGCACTCCTGACCAAAGCTTCAAGCCTAAGCTTTAGCAGTCGGATCCTCAGTTCCTTGTCTCCAGGCACGCACACTTTTAAACCTATTGAAAAACAACACACGCTTCCTGAAGCTGGTTTCAAGCGGTTACTTCAGTTTTGTGTAATACCTTGGGCACACGATTTAGAGCAGTCTGAATATTTGTGCACTTTAAGCTGAGCCTCGGCCAGACTGTGCCACGCTGGGTGAAAGTTCATTTTCTTCAATCCTAACAACATAGAAAAGAAGTCAACTTTGACAACTGCATGACTTGAGGCACATGCCCCCCCTGGACAGGCCAGTTCTATACGACTGCTAAGTAGTAACTATTTTAATGCAATACTTAAACGCATGCCTCTGCATGGACGGATTTTTAATACAATAGCTCAATCCTTTAAGAAAGAGCGTTTTATAAAGTGGCCAAAGTTTGTATGCATACAAACCTTGCGCAAGGTCCTGAATGGCATCGTTATACCTGCCCTCTTGCAGTGCTTTCGTGCCAAATCCCAAATTACACCAAGCGTTATCCGGCACCAAATTACGAAGCCGTGAAAGGCAATTGACAGCCTCCTCACTCTGGACACCTGCAATGACACAACACAGCAAGACATTTTTTTCGAGCATATTTTATCTGTAAATGTCTCTACGCAAGTGAGCATCTACACAAGGTGAACCTTTTTGGAGGTAGTGGGAACAAAGGACTTCAAGAGGATAACTTTGGGCTGGGTAGAGAGACAGCATTGACTCGCACGCTTGTTTCATTTTGTCCTCCTCTTCAGGCAGCTGTGGCAAAGACATCGAGGTGATTTCGAGGTTTTGCCCAAGAAAGCAAGATGTCGGGCAACAACAAACCGTTAGCTTAATAGCAGATTTGCGTCAGTCATATTTTAACATTTTTAGAAAATTACAAGAAAAAAATAATTATCACGTAACAAACAAGAAGGGGCAAGTTGCCTTGATTCAATCTTTGCGGATTTTTTGACAGTGTGTTAAAAAGAGACTACCGAAGCTAATTCTGCTGACGGCGTACCTTGGAGAGACATTTGATGTAGTCAACAGAGAGCTTTCGGTGTTCTTCTCCAGGCGTCGGCTCAACGAGAGCCATGGCCTTCTCAAAAGCTGTGCTTAACTGATACACAGGACAAAATATGAAGTTTGCAGCTAATAGGAGAAAGTGTTTTTTTAATGTATCAGTGCAACACTTACGTGCTTTTGAGTTTCGGTGTCCTGCTCATTGTCAGTGAGGCAGTTGGACAGGAGCTGGGCCATCTGTCGCCATAGCTGCAGTAAGGCTTTTTTGTCTGCACCATCGTCCTGTCTGAGTTGAATCAACTGCAGCCACACCTTTGCCAACTATTACAGTGTGCAACCGTAGAGAGGTGTCGCTCAATTAATTACACTATCGTGGAGAGCTGAATTTATGTCAGTATATCATTTCAAAAAGTGGATCTCATCAATTATCTGGATTCACAACATACAGTGAAATACTTCATGATTTTATCTTTTACCTCCAAGAGGTGACTAATGTAAACTACAAACCTTGGAATATTCTTTGTCAGACTGATGTATTTCTTGCAGCTTTCCAATCACTTCATAGCACTTGTTTTTGTCCGAGCTGCGAACAGAGGATGCAATGACCGAATTGCAAAAGATAAAAAAAGGATTAGAAGTGTCACACAATGGTGTTGTCTTCAAACAATCTTGTATTTTACCTTGCATACAGCTCAACAAGCTTCTGGTAGACATTGGGGAGCTCAATTTTGAAATCCCACTGATCCGTCTTCTCGTATAAATTGCTCAGGCCCTAGGACAGAACAGAGAGTAAGTGCACACGTGTGCGTGTGTGTGTGAATTGACAATACAGTACATCCCTTATTACCTGCCATGCCAGTAGCTGCTCTGGCTCCAGCTCCACAGCCTTCCTGTAGGCCGTCTGTGCCTGATCTGGTTGCTCCAGCTCGCTGGCAGCCAGGCCAATGAACACCCAGGCATTGTAATTGTTTTTTTCAAGCTTCAAAACAGTCTGTCGCCGCATAAAGAAAGTTCAGTCAGACACGCAAGCATCTCTGTTGATACATGGGGATTCTCGCCCCAATGGCGGCAACCAAACCAAAATGTGCACATTGGTTGTAACCTGCGCTAATTCAGTAGTCATACATGTATATTACAAACATGTGAACGAAAAACACTATTTAAGACATTGAAATATAAATCGATGACATGAGAAAGCAGTAATGCGGTACCTGAGCGTGCCTTCTTGCAACTCTTGTGGAGTATTGCATTCAAGATCATGATGACAACTTCTATTTGTTACTCACCTTGCAATGTTTCAACGCCTCTTTGAACTCCTTGCTTTTTATAGCCTCTTTGGCGCTCTTCAGGGCGGCTTTCACTTCTTTGCTCGACATGGTGCGGTTGGTTACCTGTATTGATAGGAAGTCATTATACGAACTAGAAGCTGCCACCGAATAGCACTGAATAACTGCGCCATACCTAAGTGATTCTTTCGGCTAATTGTCAGTAGCTCAACAATTGACTAGCAAAGTAAAGGTAACATTTCGGGTGCCTGTTAGCTTTTGTGTCAACATTAATAATTGAGTGTTAGCGTCAAACGCCTAGAAATTTAAATTGCTGTTTGTTGTCATTTATTACGTAGATGACATGTGACGCCTGAATAAATGGACAAAAAGTTAGACACCCACTGTTTACGTCGACAACTCTGACGGCTCCGGCAGACACCCGGAAGTGCATAAGCTCATCAATCTCCCTCTTCACAATAAAATACCACCTAGTTTTGAATGGAAGGGAATTTACGGAAGAGTAAAACCTAAATAAATATTAAAACCAATTAAAACTACAACAAATAATGGTCGGTATCTAATTACAGGTAAGACAACATTTTTACACTTGTTGAAATTATAAAAATTAAGGACTGTTGTCAGATATATTGGGTGAAATGTATGATATTGTTATAGATTTGGTTTGCTTTATTATCAAAATCAGAAAGCAATAAAACATTAATCACAAAGGGAACGCATTGTTGACCCAATCTAAGTACAGAAACCGAAAAAAAATAAATTATGATTCAAAAATAATAAAAAAAGACAAAACCAAAAAACAGGTACCAAATGAATACAAATAAATATCTGTGATACAAAATTTTTCACATCAAACATCCAAGTATAACTTCATTAATAAGGTCTGAGCATACAAATGTGAAAGAATATTTGTAATGTATTTTAACAATCCAGATATTTCAATATTAAAATCAGAGCATCATTCACAACACTCACACTGAACAGAGTGCAACAATATTTTCGGACAATATGACTAAAAAGCATACAGTAGTATCATAAGGAACTGTCCAGCCACCTGTCAATAAGTCTTTCATTGGTTACGACATCTTTTTGCCAATCAACATGCCACCTGAGATTAGCTATGACCTCACTGTAGTTGCTACCTACACTTTGGCGCCAGGCAGCAAATTCTTTTTTATTGTAGCCATGGACAGTTGCAGAAACGGTCGGATAGTTTACAACGCTACGCAACCGTTTGTCTAGCTGCGCCTTCACATCAGGGAATTTGAAGGCCACGTTGTGAAGTTCTTCCTTGTCCAATATTAGGTCTGCGGTAGAACAACAACAACAACAAATGAGCCTATGACTGATTTCGGACGTCACTATTGAAAGAGATAAGAACAGTTACGTGCTTACCAAAAAGTTGAGGCGGCACACTCATGCCATCAGCGTAGGTGATGTATTTCCACTTGCCACTTCTCAGCATGTAGGTTGAGGCATTTACATTGCAGCCATGATATTCGCTCAGAACCCAATCTGGATGTTCGTTCTTGAGAAACATACTGTACTTGGACAGAAGCGGAAGCAACGAGTGGCCACTGAGGTTCCCTATTCCTGAGATTTCTGCAATATCTGCAATGTAAGACAAATGTATATTAGCATAAAAAAATTGCAAATATCACTTTAGAGTGTCTAGACCAAACGACAGAAATATCCTTTGATGCTTTCTACCATTTTCCTCACCCAGCAAAGTAGGGTAGAGATCAACCAGTGACACGAGCTGGTTGACCTGCAGGCCTGACGTTATCCCAGGCCCCATGATGAGCAAGGGAACGTGCGAGCTCCCCTCAAACATGGACATCTTGTAGAACTGACGGTGCTCCATAGCCAGCTCCCCATGGTCGGCCGTGAAGATCACGACAGTGTTGTTGAGTAAACCCGTGACTCTTAGCGCGGAAATAATCTGTCCTGTGAACAGAAAGTTAAGGCCTTACCATCCATCAATTTACTGCACTAGTTATCCTCTTTAGGGAAACAGGTGAGCTGGAGCGTATCCCATTTCATTTTGTGCGAGTCATAATTACTCTCGATTACCATTTTGTCATCTCATTTGGTCTTGCATTGCTTTTGAATTATTTTTAGTGGCATTGTCCAACTAGTTTTCAGCTGCTGGAAATGGACATAATCCTTCATAAAATTAGACTGTCAACCAACCCAACATTGCATCTGCTTCAGCACACATGGCATAGTAGAAGGCCCGGATTCTCTTCACTTCCTCCTTTGTGAAATCCCCGCTGCAGTTTTTGGTAAAGGTGGAGTAGTAGTCAACAGGGTGCATGGCAGTCAAGGGGAGCCACGTGGGAACGGAGATCAGGTCAGAATTAACCTGCGTACATAATAGAGCAATTTAGCAGCGGGAAAGCAGTTCAGAACAGGAAAGACAAATCGTGCCTTTTTCAGCCAGTAAGGAGATGAGCGAAATGTGGATCCTCCGGCAGTGGGCCCCAGTGAATCAGTCTTGTAGGTGTGAGGTAGATTCAGACCGAGGTAAAAGGCAAAAGGACGGCGCGAGGATGCAGCCTTCTGATGGATCCATTCGGTGGCCAAATCAGTTTGTTTCCAGTCCACAGTATTGACTCTCACTGTTGACATGTTTCCAACCAGCTGAGTGACAGGCCGACCCTCTTGGCGTAGCAGGAAGTGAACGTCCCGTGTCCAGGCTTCAACACGATTACTGTAATAATATGAACACCACCATGTAAAATGTAAACAAGGGCATGGGTGTGAGGTGTGTCAGAAATGTTCCTGGACTTGTGTCAAAAAAAAAAAAAAAAAAGACATTTCAAATCCAAACTGAAAGTCATCCCCCTAGATGTAATCCTCCTGGAGTATCATGCACTTCCCCATCCTTCTCTGTCTATTACGGTCAGACAGGTATTCATCATCAAATATTTTAATTACTGGTATTGTAAGTTTGAGATGTCACTGATGTCCATAATGCTATGGCGAGTCAGTAAAAAGCCAACTCTTACAAATTTCACATACAGTGCAATTCCCCCCAGTCCCTGACAGTTACCTGAGTGAATGTCCCCCTGACGTGTAGTCCAGCTTGCCGAGCTTCTTTGTAAGGTAACCGTTCTTCTCCAGCAGATCCATCCATGTGGTCGCATTTGCATCAAGGCACTTGTAATTGTTCCAAGCCTGCGTGAGGTGAATAAACTGACCGCTCCACATGGCTGCAGATGCAACATATGTTATGTTTCAACCATATCAATCTCTTTAAAGTGAGAATGTCACAATTGGATTGAAGATCAATTAGGATACGGTGTTTATCGATGACTTGCCTGCACGGGAAGGGCAGCATATTGGAGAGTTGGTGTAAGCATTAATAAAGGTGCTCCCCAGTTCTCTGAGGTAGTTGATATAAGGAAGCTGCAAAACTTTGCTGCCAGGGTCAAATGTCAAGCGCCCATCCTGCACAAACAATAAGATTCACTACAAGCATTGTTTAATAAAAAAAGACAAAAAAATGTTCTGTTTTGACTCTGAAAGAGGTTTTAATTTAACATGTTTATTGTTTGTAGTTTGCAGCTGTGTACTGTAGTACTGCCCCGCATTGCACAAGCATGCTACAAATAATATAAGAATCTTTATCATTAAAGGGGATAAATAGAAACAAACAGCTACCAATTGGTGCAGCTTTCATTACTGCAAACTACACGGATACCACACTAGTATGCAGTGTATTTTTCACAAGTCTCGTATAAAATACATAAAAGTGTTCACATGTCTAATGCACTCACAAATGCATCAGTCATCACCATTACGATGTTGGGTCTTGATCCATCATGACACAAACTTGCTGCATACATTTGAAATAGACACACCAAAGCGAATCTTAGATTCATGATAATATTCAAACAATGTTGCTTTGAAGCGGGTGGAAATGTGTCAAGAAAAAGTACAACAAATTCCAAAACTATGCCCACTGCTGATACTTGGGCATTAACAACATCCGGGTTAAGTTAACAAAATAAGGGCATTTGCTGACTAAAACAACCTGAGGGGAAAACTATAAAATAGGTACTATAAAATATGTAAACATAAACATATCAGACACTAAATGGTTTAGAAAGAAATAATTACAATAGCAAATTTAGACTTAACTATTTTGGCTCCTCCGTTTTTACGACATCCGTTTCCATGACCGAGATGCGTGCTGGTTTTCATGTCATTGTTTAATAATTAAGGACGACAATTGTTTTGAAAAAAAAAATACTTGCGTTGGCGTTTATTCAGACTTGAATTGTCACCGTAAGAAGGGAAGTCCGACGGAAATTAAGCAACCCCCGTACGTCTTTGTACATGTAATGACACCTTAAAACCGCTAGATTGCAGCATTGATCAGTTTTAAGTCAGTACTACAGAGGAATACAGAACAACTTTCAGACTTCTACTGGGTACGAAAATGTGACTTTAAATGAAGCAGTCTTGTAAAGAACTTCTGGGGAGCTGTTTGACATTTGATCTGGCCCTACTGATCTGCTTGCGAAAACTTGCCACATTTTTTCCTCAATTTATGTTCAAAACTTGCCATACAAAAAGCTAACATCCAATGCAGGGACAAGTAGGGAATATAATGTGGTGATTATCAGGGTTCCCAAACAAAACACTGTCATTAAGACACGAGAAGTGTTACTGCCCTGCTTTCTAGTCACACATTTGGTCCATAAAAATAACATAGGTCAGTTCAGCCTCTGGCGAGCAGAGACATCATGGTTTGTGATATGCTTTTGGCAGTACATGCACGTCGACTTGTTAACTTTGAAAGACCATGAGGTGAACATGAATACCGGTTCACCGTTAAAAAAAAAAAAAGAAGAAGAAGAAGAATTCTGTGAAAACACTGCCATTACATCTGACCTGCATAACACGAGACACGCAGTTTATTTTGCATTGTGTTCCCATATTCTCGCCAGTGTGAACCAAACTCTGGCCAACAGTTTAAGTGCCTTTTTGATCAAAAGTTTTTTTATAATCACAAATATCCATCCATGAATTTTGTAAAGATAAAAAAGTTGTGCTTTTAACCCATCCTTACTACTGGTGATCGACTGAGGCACTGGGTGGTTTCCCACTGCCTGGGGAGCGTCTGCTTGCTCAAGCGCCAAGTTATGGGAAACAAACTGAGGACCACTGGTTAGAGGCCATATTATTAAACCACTTGTCAATTGTCTAGCCTACAAACGCACACAAGTTGGCTTTAATTTTTTTTTCTACTGCTACAGTGCTGCTCAACAGGTAGCGTCGCATCACATTGCAGTAACCCCAGTGGGCTGCAGATGGCGTTTTGAGTTTGTCGGAGTTGTTTTTCTATTCTCACACAATGGAATCCCTGCCCCCATTTGTGAATGGATCCTTTTTATATTTTGATGCAAAAACAACATCATGTGGAGAGGGTACATATATATATATTTTTTCAGATGCACATGACCTATTTCTTCCAACACCTCAAGCATTTTCTACTGAATCATCGGTGCAAGATGCTGTGTGCTCTTCGTGATTTGGGAGTGTTGCGGACCATATGTGTGGATTATGATGTATGAATGTGTGCGCGCACACACGTGCACTGTGCAGCCAAACCATATGCCCACACATTGTTGGAAGCTGATCAACACAGGAATATGTAGGATGGGGATAATGCTCGATTTAGCAAAGGAAGGAGGGTTTGCATTTTTTTAATATTAAAATGCGCGGTGAATATATTTCGTGCCAGAACAATATCTTGATGCCATCTTTCAGCTGTTTGAGCAAACTTGTCATCTGGCCTTCTCCTCCTTTGCACAAGGCGGAAGGAGGGGGCAGTGAGTGATGCCTGCGCATGCGCACGGGCTTGTTTTTCCACATCTCCCGTCGCTTAAAGTGAGCGGAGTTGCCAGGCTGGCTTGTCTTTAACCGGAGACCAAGCGGCTGAGAGGCGGACGATAACAGCATCCGTTGCTGTTATTCAGCCTTCACGCATCTCAATGAACCGCACACATCGACACCACTGATCGTGCCTACTGCTTCTCGCAGGGAGGCACCAACACTTTTTTTTTTAAATACTCATCCCCCCTCCACCAGACACACCTTTTCTTAAACATTTCTCGGTGTGTGTAGCCCACTTTTTTAAGCTTCCAACCATGGTGCTCGGGAAGGTAAAGAGCTTCACGGTGAGCTACGACTGTCTCAATGACAGCAACGTGGCAGTGTTCTCCAGCGGGGACTGCGTCTCAGGGAGGGTGATCGTCGAGGTGACCGGCGAGATCCGCGTCAAGTCCCTCAAGATCCACGCCAAAGGTTTCGCCAAAGTTCGCTGGACCGAGTCGCGGAACGCCGGCTCCAACACCGCCTACACGCAGAACTACACGGAGGAAGTGGAATATCTCAACCATAAAGACGTTCTAATTGGACATGAGAGAGGTAAGACAGGTTTTTACATGTATCCTTAAGGTTCTTCTATTTGAGGGGGTAGTGGAGGGGGATGTTGCAGGTTGCGTTCATAAACATCAAAATTGCACCTTATTTAAGTCTGAGGGGATTTAATAGTTGAGCTCTGTTTTGGAGTTCAAATGACAGCTGCGTACCTGGTTACCTGATTGAGGTGATTTGTCACAATGAATGACAGCCGGAGCCCACCTGTATTTTTCACTTCATTTTGAGGCAGAAAATGGCAATAACAGGCGTTTTCGAAAGGGGTTGAGAGGTTTGGAGCATGAATGAATGTTTCTACGGCTTCGTTGGTGAAATTTAGCTCACATTCATGCTGTAAAATATGTTTCTTTGTGGCTTCTCTGAAGTTTCCACCCATTGTTCAAAGCGGTTCAATCCTGTTCAGAAAACTGGATTGCGAGTAGGCGGGTTTTCAGCCCTAGCCCCGCCCTTACTTCTCTGTGATTGGCTGAGGTGCTCATGTGTGGCCCAATTACGTCACCATTGCAGATTGTGACGGGAAAGCAAGTTTTTTTATTGTCAGTATGCAATTTTCAAATGTTAATTATGTGTCATTTGCACATGATAACATATTGGAGTCACTTCAAATTCAAATCAACCAATTATTGTGTTTTGCTTGAATGAGAATAAACGGTTCGGATCATGGGTGGATGGATATAATTAAAATATTAGCTACCGCTGAAATGAAAGGGGCAAACGTGCGAGCTGAGGTGTTTGCAACTGAAGTTACGGTGGGTGACTAATTATTCACAATTATTATTCTGCAGTCATGCCAGAATAGTATTAAATTGTTACAAAAACATGCAGAATTGAACTCTTTGCAGTCGAGAAATTATAATTGAAACAAGTTACATTTACATATTATGCCACCCAATGCATTGAGTGATGCACATTTATAAATTCAAAGAAGGAAGAAAAACATTGAGCATTGCACATTTAAACATTAAAAAATTGGGGAAAAAAAAGAAGGAAATCATGATGTGACCAAATAATGATGTCATGGCAGAATCAAACCCCATAGCCCATAATTAAGCATCCAATCGGTTTGCTCTGATGTCATCCCTCTTACAGTCCTTATGAACATCCCTAAAATGAACTGATTTGTATTCACCAGCGAACGTTAACTATTTCCCAATGGAAGTGAAACGAATGGTCTGTTTAGAGTTCATTAAGTGGTAATTAGCAGCAAAAGGAAATAGACCTCATGAAGAATCTTACTGAAATAGACTACGTAGTCGTACGGGGGCTTTCACTCTCCACAGTGGAGGATAAAAGCCTTTCGTAGTTTTTCCAAAGGCGAGCTGTGCAGGCTGCAGTGTCGCACAGTGAATGTGGAATGAATGCCTGTGTGTATGTCTGTGTGCGGGGTAGTGGGGGTGGAGTATAGTGTGTGTGTGCGTGCGTGCGTGTGTAGGAGCTGCTCGCGCCGGTTTAGGCCGGTCTCCTCCTGCTGCTGCCTTTGACTGACAGCTCTGCACTTGTTTACCACACGTCTGCTGCTTGCAGGAGGGGAGAGGGAGTGCTGAGCTGGCAGAAGCAGCTTTTGACATGCTTATGGCGTGAATGGCAAATGTGTACAGTATTTATTTGACGCTGGAGCCTCGGAAGCTGCACATTATGGTGTGCTTGTTGCTAAGCAGGCTGCGCTGTTTTTCGTTTAAAGTTGTTTTTTTTTTTTTTTTTTTTTTGCTTGTGGGTTCCTTGACCCCTTGAGATTCTGCTCCCAACTTTTATTGTCTGCTCTTAAGAATAACTTGTTCCATTTTAGTCTTAATATAAAGTCCTCTTAAGACCACTTATGGGGGGAGGGAGGGGGCAAACAAAAACAGCATTGAATGTTACTATCATTGGAATGGCTTTTTATTTGTATATATCTATTTTTTTATTTTATTTTTTTCTTAGCATTTGCATGGCGGGCCGGGTCAAATGCGCTTGCACCCCCTGCAATGCATAACTTGTTTCCAGGCAAATATCATGAGTAAAATCCATTTTGTTCTCTTCTGTCTCCCCCCCCACCCTCTGTTTTTTTTTTTTTTTCCTTTTACTTTTTCTGTGGTATGACTTTCAGATGCCTTCGTAGAGCAAATGTATCCAAGGTATGGTATACATGTGTTTGGAATAGCGTCCGCCTTGTTTTTCAGACGATGACAATTCTGAGGAAGGACTCACCACTATCCATTCAGGAAGACACGAGTATGCATTCAGCCTGGAGCTTCCACAGACGTGAGTGTCCCCCCCCCCCCTCCAAAAAAAAAAGCCCACCTCATTTATAAAGCTTCTCATGGGTTAATGTAACTTGCATATCTTTTGCAGACCTTTGGCTACCTCTTTCGAAGGGAAGCATGGCAGCGTGCGCTATTGGGTGAAGGCAGAGCTCCACAGGCCGTGGTTGCTGCCCATCAAGACCAAGAAGGAATTCACCGTTTTTGAGCACATCGACATCAACACTCCGTTACTGCTGGTAAGGAGGAAGTGTGACACAACAACAGTGACTCATCCGAAACCTAATTTTCCTTTTGGCGTGTCACAACCTTGGAAACTTTTACAGCTGGTCATCTTATGCAATTCCAAGACTGTCATTTGTGGTTACCGCCCCAGCGCAGTTGTATAACCTCGTAATTTTGAATGGAATTCACTTGGCGGTACCTTCACTTTGAAGGAATCCAAAATTTAATACCGCTTTGGTCAAATGTCAGCCTTCATTTATTCTATGACCGCAATATTCGAACAATCCATTTTTAAAAATATATATTTTAATAGCCTATTATATGTAAAATAAGCAGCATTTTACCCTAATTGAGACTTCGCTTTGGCTTTGAAGTTTAGATGTTCTCCCTGTGGTTGCCTGGGTACTGCTCTTCCATATTCCAGCAACATGCATGCATTTTTTTTTTTTTTTTTTTTTTTACAAATTTCATCTCATGGATCTGCATCTTCTTTTTTTTTTCTCTCCAGTCACCACAGGCCGGCACAAAGGACAAGACACTTTGCTGTTGGTTCTGCACCTCAGGTCCAATTTCCCTAAGTGCCAAAATTGAGCGGAAGGGCTACACCCCAGGTAAGCATGCGGCGGTTACGCTCGAGTCATTCATTCTCTCCACCTCAAAATGACTTCATCAACTTGACTTCTTCTCCCACGCCGCAGGAGAGTCGATCCAGATCTTTGCCGAGATCGAGAACTGCTCGTCCCGCATGGTGGTGCCCAAGGCGGCCATCTACCAGACGCAGACTTTCTATGCCAAAGGGAAGATGAAGGAGGTCAAGCAGCTGGTGGCCAACCTGAGGGGCGAGTCCTTGTCCTCGGGCAAGACGGAAACCTGGAGCGGCAAAATGCTCAAGATCCCGCCCGTGTCTCCCTCCATCCTGGACTGCAGCATCATCAGAGTGGAATACTCGCTCATGGTGAGCGCGCGTGAATGTTCTCAGTGCTGTGGAGCTCTTGAGCTTCCTATTCCAAGTCCTTCATTTCCATCCCGGGCCCTGGCCTGCACCGGGTGTTAACCCCACATGCCGCTAAGAGCATTATCCCGGCGTATCTGCAGCAACACCTGCCTCGAGGGCGCTTATTACCTCTTTACCGCGTAAACAGCCACGAGGATCTTCCTCGTATCCACTTGAAGCATCTCGCATGAACGCATTGACCCACATAACGGGGAGCCGTCACTTGAGGAACTTGCAGCCTTTCGGTCGTCTCATGTGGTCTCCTCGTGTCCTTCTTTAGGTGTACGTGGACATACCAGGGGCAATAAATCTTTCCCTGAACCTGCCGCTAGTCATCGGAACCATCCCCTTGCATCCCTTTGGCTCACGCACATCCAGCGTGAGCAGCCAGTGCAGCATGAGCTGGCTGGGGATGGGTCTGCCCGAGAGGCCTGAAGGTAGGCCGGATTTTTTTTTTGTTTTGAGGTTTTTTTGTTGTGCTCCTTTGCGGGAAAAAAAACTTCACTCTGGAGTTTCCCGGAACGCTAATGCGCATCTCTTCTTCCGTAGCCCCTCCAAGTTATGCACAAATTGTGACGGAAGAGCAGCGGCAGAGCAGTCTGGATGTGCCAGCGGCTCGCGAGGGTATGGATGGACCGCTGTTTGCCTACATCCACGAGTTCCGTTTCCAGCCACCCCCTCTCTACTCGGAGGTAAGGATACCCACTTGACTTCCCCAAATAGCGGCCTTAACTCGAATCGATACACACCGTATCAATTAAAACCTTAAATATGACTCGTGCAACCAGGTCAGGCGGTAGGGAACTTTACCTCAAAGCCATAGTTGCAGTGCAGACATGGCATGTGTAAAGTGATGTTTAAAGAAAAAGTTATTGCAGCTAAACATTTCATTATTCAAAATAAATGAAACAAAAAAGCAGAAATATGATGCGGAGTCACCAAGAGGGCACAGATGTTAATCTGGCGTCGGAGAGAAAACGTGATCATTTATTTGTGCAAATATACTTTTTTTTTTTTTTTTTTAAACCAATCAAAACTGAACTTTTTTTTTTTTTAAATCAAAATGAATTAAAAACTAACAAGCTAGCTAGAAATACTAACTGGAAAAAAAGTTGAGATAAAAACTAATGACGATGAAAAATCCGAAACGAATATAACACTGGGTGCTACTGGCTGTAAAAAGTTTGACAACCACAGTTACAAATGGCCCCCCAGCCACAATGAATTATGGATACATGAAGTTGGTCACTGTGAATAATAATCAATTGATATTTTTTTCCCGCTCCCCCAGGTGGATCCGAACCCCGACCATGCCGACCGTCCAGAAGTGCGCAGGCCCGACGCCTGCCCATCACGCTGAGATGTCGTCCGAAAATTCCCTTGGCTGACTCGGGAACCCAAAGAAAGCCGCACGCTACGAGGCTCCACGTTGTTCATTCTTCTCCTCAAATGGCGTCTTTTTGACGACAAGAGAGAAATCCGAAGGAATCCAACCCACCGACAAAGACTTGAGCTGGGATTGGACAAGTGTGTTCCGTCAGTGACACAAAAAGGAGGGTCACTGTTTTGATGTCTCACTCGCTTGCTGAGGGTGGGCTGTGTACAGATTCCCCCCCCCCCCAACCCTCCTAAATCTGTATGGCGAGCCCTCAGTAGCGAGGAAGAGTCTGAAGGTGTGGCACATAAGGACAACGAGGCTTCACCGGTCCCGTCCAGACTGCATGAGAAAAAGAAAACCAACGCAGACCCCCCCCCCAAGCTCGCCCTCGACGAGAGGCTTCCGCCGCCAGAGCAAAAAGTCCTCGAGTCCCGCCTCATTTGGGGATTTTTGTTTTTGCACATCTTTTGTTTCGCGACTTGACTCGAGTGGCTGTGGGCTAACCGCTCGCTCGCTCGCTCGCTCGCTTTTCCAGACTGCGGGAGAAGCAGGGCTGAAAAAGACAAGAACAACGCACTGATTTTTGTTTTCCTTTCAACTTCTTGAAGATTGTTTTCTTTGACAATTCCGGAGTGACTTATGACAACTGAACGCTTTTTTTTTTTTTTTTTTAAATGAAACACCCACAAAAAAAACCAACCGCAGCACACTTTTGTCTACCGAGAAGCTATTTTGAAGACGTTGCCTCTTCTGCTTGGATCCAGTGTGGCTTTCCTCCTTTCGTTCCGATCATAGAATTATTAGTGTGTGTGCGTGCGTGTTTGCGGAGGGAGTTTGGAGCGGGGGATTTGCAGGCCTCGTTTTTTGCTACTAAACTAAAGGGAGACTTTTCTCCTTCATGTATGCCTGCTGCCCCTGTTTCTCTTTCTCTTACTGCCCAAAAGGCACTGTTTCATGTGTCAAAACAGTGTGAACATAGCAGAAGAAAAAAAAAAACAAAAGTTGGTTTAATTGCACTGTTGAGAATATTGAAGAGTTCTGTTTGTTTCGTGCTACCAAAACTATTTAGACAAACGACGTGCAGATGAGCTCGGCAGCTTTTGTAGACGCATTCCCTTTTGTCCTTGCTGCGCTTGCTCATTTGATCAGACCAGTGAAACCAGAATGCTTTATTCAAAAAAAAAGAAAGAAGACAAGCACTGACGCCGCTTCTAGTTCGAAGAAGCAAACCTAATTGCGCAGTCTGGTCAGAACAAGTAGTCGTAGGTTGACATGAGTACTACATTGGTTTTCTCACTCATTCAACACCATAGGCCAGCTGCGGTAATCGTGGGTTTGTCAGGAAATAGGATGCGCAGCACTTTTTTTTTTTTTAATTTAAACGATAATTACAAAAAAAAAAAGCATTACGTGGTGAAGGTCTGGATAAAAAAAAAAAGGTACGAATCACGTTTCAGCTAAAGCAGTGTTGTGTAGGATGTGGATGCATTATTTAATCTTGAAAGATTAGTTTACATGATGTGGTGTGTGTGTGTGTGTGGGTATCCAGCCGACAACGAGAACGCTTCTGACGACAAGTGACAAACTGCAGATCATTCAAGTGATCTTATCTTTGTGGCCTTGACACAGAAAAGACTTTTTGTTTTTTTCCCCCCTTTTCTTAAGATTAGTTTTTTTGGGGTTTTTTTTGCTTCCCGTTGATGCTAGTTCCCTTTTCATTTCTTTGCATGTTTTCAATTCCATTCAAAAGGACAAAAAGGGAAACGCATGTCCTTTTTAGAAGCAAGACGGCGCCAGAGATGGTCTAATAATTCTTTTTTTTCCCACTTAACCGAGGGCATTGGTGTAGTTTAACAAACGGACAACCCACGCGGTCTCCCAGGCTGTTGATCAGCCCCCCCCCCCTCTTCTGAGGATGATGTAAATTGCCTTCTCTTTTTTTTCCCTTCTGTTGTATTTGTTTGACGCTCTTATGTTTCACAATGATGAATAAGCTGACATATTTGCTCCACGCCGGTCAATTCCGCACGAATCTGCTGGTGTGAGTAAGTCCAAAAGTAAGATTAAGCTGATTAAATAAAAAAAGAAGAAAAAAATGCAGGAATTGAAATGTTCGAGGACAACCGCATCGGGGAGATGACGTCTGAAACATTTTAGAAACAAAGTGCAATATCACTCGTTGAATTTTCTTCATTCTCCATTTTTTTTTTGTGTTTTCCTCTGTTAATCGTGACGATGTATGGATATTCTATGAATATGCGATGTTCTGAATGATTTCATCTTTTGTCTAGTTCTTCCTTTTTTTGATTTGAATAAACATTTTGTTCTAAAAAGACATGGTATCTGACTAAGTTTTTTTTTTATATATATACATACGAAGCACTGAATGATTAACCCAAGTCACATTTATCTTTTTATAATGTGCAAGTGTACTTAACTTTATTAAACTGTTAAGTTTTTTTTTTTGACACCAATTAATTCCGTAGGGACGTGTGACTTTGGATCAATTCAATCGTTGTCAACAGGTTTGGGATTGCCATGCGACATGTCGGCTGCAGGTTAAGCAGAGACGGGGAAAAGAAGTGAAAGGAAGAAAGATATTTGCTGTTGCATAACTGAAACAGGACGTTTCATCCCTCCTGTGCTACATTACTGAACAAAAAAACGCATTTTCGGGGGGGGGGTGTGAGGGGGGGCTCCAGCTTCGGTGCACGAGTGATGACTTAGCAGTTATGTCACTTTCGTCTGCCTTTGTACCCCCGCCCCCTTTTTCCACCGCCTTTGACTTTTTAGTGGAGTGGGAGCGGGCGAGGGGGGGACCTTTTGTGGGTGCCTGACCCCTACAGGGCGAAAAAAAGGAGGATGGGATTATTGTCAGCATCGAGCACGCAGGCGAGGGTTGCTCATAAATGCTGACGTGACATGGGCCTCAGCTGTTTCCTCACACCGGATAATCCCGCTACCCACAATCCACCGCGGTACCCAGCATCATTGTGACATCATAGCAACACACACACACACACACACACACACACACACACACACACACACACACACACAAAGCAGCTACCTGTGCACATCCTTTGAACCAATTTCAATTCCTCTAGTTTTGGGTGTCAAACTCCTTTTTGTCACGGGCCACATTTGAGTTACCGTTTCACTTTTCGGGTTGTTATGCCTGAAACCACATAAAGAAGTCAAGTCAAGAATAATTATTGATTTAACTATTGTTTAAGTTTCTATCATGATGGGTTTGGTAACAAGAAAATGCTTCGAATATACCTGTTATTTATTACATATGAGAATTGAAAACTTTGGTAGACATTTGGTAGCCGTGTTACAAAGCCAGTATTCTTCAACAGATACAAAGAAAAAAGGGGCTGCAGATGGACAGAGGAGACGCCGAGGAGTGAGGGCAGAGGGTTTTTTTTTCTTTCTTTTTTTTTTTTCTGTCCAAGCAGCTTGTTCATTACAGTTGTGGGCACTTCTGCACCAGGCCGCTGCTGAAAGTGACGCTGTTTTTTGACCTTGCCAGCGGACACGAGTTGTTTACCCTCAATTTAACATGCCACTCTGGATGGCAAAGACATAAAAGAACCACTATTTTTTTTTAAACACACACACACACACACACACACACACACACACACACACACACAAATATATGTCTCACCACACACACACACACACTCATGTCCTATTTGTGCCTGTAGTCCTCTGAATGACACGATCATTTTTGTATTATGACATATGTCAACAGCAGCTGCCGTGATGACACCGTGTTGGTTTTTGCCGCTTACACTCGGATCCGTTTTGTCATCAAGGTTTTTTTGTTTTTGTTTTTTAATAGGAGGAAAGTTATTAACTCCACCCAAAATGTAGGATTGAATAAAAAATGTCTGAAAGATAATAATTCTGTGTTTGTGTCAATTGCAGCACTGTGTATTCTGAAAGCCGTTGCTAATATTGGCCGCACGGTGGTCTCATGGTTAACATGTCTGCCTCATATTTCTAGGGTTCCGGGTTTGTGTCTGTTTTGGTTTTCCTGTTTAGGTCGGCATGTTCTCCCCACGCTTGCCGGGTTAGCTTCCAGCTCACGCACACGCCTCATAAGCTAATGAGAACAAGCAAGGACAAGTTCCATCACGGGGTCAATATCACGATGATGTGCCTTCGCTGTCCTCATCAAGAATCACTCATCCATGGTGAAAATGTTGCCGAATAATTCAACTCGTAAGTCCAAACATTTGTACATATGCCAGTTTTGTGACAAGTCATGTACAATGTGATTCCTTCATTTTATGTCATTTTACATCATTTTTTCCCCCCACTGGTTGAACATGATTTGGACACACTACTCTGATGAGAAAAAAAAAAAAAAATTACAGTTCACAAAAAGTTCTTTGTTAAAAAGAGTGACTTCGATCACCATTCAACATTTTTCCCTGAACTTGCGGACATCACAGTATCTGTCCCTTGAAGAAACCCTCTGATGTCTTCAGTGCCTCAATGGCGGATTTGTCCATTTTGACACTTGTTTTTCATCATGTTGAACTTCTGAGTGTGGACGGAGCTTGTCAAGCATAACTGTCCACTCTGTCATTGTGAAAGATCAACTGAGAGATCTTCAGAAATGTGCAATGTATTTGATAAACAGTTGCTTTGCAAACTAAATCCTTTTGCTGGGTGAAGGTCGGCCCAAAATGTCCACCCTGTCACTGTCCAACCTGTCAGCAAGCATGCGAATTTTGCTGCTTGCGCATAAACCATATTCTCGCAGTGACTCTAAACCAAAATTAAAATAATAAGCGGGAGCTTGACCAAGATGCATTTCTAACTATGCCGAATATATATAAATATAGCAACTTTTTGGGCCAAACTGTGGAGGCCTCAAAGGCATCGTACGGCGATAGTGACTCACGCCGAATATGCAATTAACTCTGCTTACGACTCTCCGGTTTCATGCTTGCATAACTGTGCTGTAAAACAAAAAAACCAAAAAAGAAAATCACAATCGCATGTCATGGTTATCGCACGCAATGCTAAGTTATGAAACTTAGCATTGGCACGCGATAACCATTTGACGACATGGATACGCTCCAAAAATGGTCCGTGTCCGTTCTATTTGGAGGAGCCAAAGGCCAGGAACGGAGAGCCACATTCTCGTGGGTTATGTCACCCGGGAATTGGATGCGCACTCAAGGCGGCGCTGGCGGTGAGGCCGCCGCAAAAGGAGATGGAAAATGTCAGCTTCCTTCATCCACCAGCGGCCTCACTGAGAGCCAAAAGTCTTTGCTCACCTTAACGTCGTGTTCCAACTGGCTCGGCGCGCCAGACGCAGGTTTGTTCGTTTCACGACTCATCTTATTTTACCCGCAGCTTCCTTTTTATAGCTCGGGAGCTGACTCACAGCCTCTTTGTGACCCCCCCACACCCGCTCCCCCTTGGCCCCCCTCCTCACCCGCTCACATTTTACTGAGTCACAGGCTGCGAAAGACCACCCCAACCTCCAGCTCACGCTTTGACCTCCCTCCTGTGTGGCTTTCACTCCTGAAAAACAACAGGTGCGAGTGGAGTGTTGAAAGGGGGGAGGTGTCGGTCTGCGCTTTCCAGTCATGCCTCGCTGATATGTCAGCCGTCTAACTTCAAACGGTCAGTCTGCAGAAAGCCCGATCTCCGGGCCAACCTTGGCAACCTTCAGATGTCTGCACATTTAATACTGTTGCCCCCACTCAAAAGTTCTTCCATGCGCATTCCTTCCATGCAGGCTACACAACTGACTGGCTGCTGCAAGGATGATGTTCAAACATTCCCTCAACCATCGAATGTACGCTAATGTATCCTGCAACACAGTGGAGTAAGGGTTGGCACACCTGCCTCGCAGTTCAGACGTTCTGGGTTCGAATCTCGCTTCTGGACCTTCCTGTGTATTGTTTACGCATTCCAAATCCCCCACCCCCCAAAAAAACCCCACCCCTGGTCTTTTCATTGTCCGTAAATCTGAATGTGAGTGTGAATGGTTGTTTGTCCAGACGTGTCCGATGACAGTGGCTGGCAGCCAGTCCAAAGGCTGCCCTCCTATCCAGTCAGCCGGTCCAGCTCGCCGGACCCCCGATGAGGTGAAGCGGTGTCAAAAACGAACGAATGGATCTTCTGAACACCAGCAGCACAGTGGACTAGTGGTTCTGCCTCACATGTTGAGGTTCGTGGTTCAAATCTCAACTCCGGATACACACACTTGTGAAACTTGCACAAGCTGCCTTGGAGATGCATTGTATTCGGGAAACAATAAAATATTTTTTAATTTATTTTTTTTAAATGTGCACAGCGGCAGGCAGCCTGGTACCATTTCTGTTCACTGTTTTTAGGTTCAGAGTTCTCATGAGCTCGAGCCATCTGTGACACTCTTCTATTTTCTTCTATTCTATTCGGTTGAGTTATTCTTCCATTCCACACACGGTAGACCATCAAAGCTTACCATTCATTTCTGCACACTCTCACTGTTCTAGAGATCAAGAAGTCAAAATGGATGCGAGGCGTGTGGGCTTTATAAAGCGTCACACGAGGTTCCAAAGCACCTCACATGGACCGGCCCCCACTAACCCAGATTCCCGTAACGGCCTCAAGGTGATAACTCACTTTCCAAAATAACACAATGGCCTTGCGCATACCTCATCCAATGTGACAAAGTCCAGGTCCAACTCTCAGCGTTTTGTCCTCTCAGTACATTGACTTTCAGTCTTAAAGCTTGGATCTGAAGCTACGCATTCAGTGAAAACCGGTATGGGACACCTGACTGCAACAGTTGGGTTGAAGCTTTGTCTAATAATTTTCCATGGAGGCTCCATGTTGCAGATCAACACATATCCACCGCGCATCATTCTATACTTGTATTTTTAATGAGAGCTTAGCTGCTAGTGAAGCACAACATTGCTTGAAATCCTCCCCGCTGACTTGACTGCATGCTCTCCTCCTTCATTTCGCTGCCAGATAAGCGCAGACGCTCGCGTCTCGGGTTCCCCAATTTTCCATCCGTCCCAACCGGACTGGACCAGTGGGCAATTACCCCCGCCCCCTCCCCAAAATCCTCAACCTTTGCTCCTCTGGGCTGGACCGACACCGAGCCTGCTCCGTCTGCACAGCTGCTGTCTGCTATGCTGAAAGCAAAGACATGACCAGGTGGCTAACACACACACGCACACGCACACACACGCACACACACACACACACACACAGACTCACACTCACACAAGCGAGAGTGAAGGCACTAAAACACGCACGCAAACGCATTCGACGCTTGTTGCCGCAGACAACTTGTTGCTTAGCAACGGCCTTTG